GGAGCAGCTGCAACCACTCACCTGCCCAAGAGGGAAGAGTAGTGGTAGCAGACCCTGGGGCTGGAATGGAGGACCTGCCACCTCAGGCTGTGGTTGGACATGCCATGCTCTTTCCTTCCCAATGCTTGCACTGTCCTTGGGCGAGGTGGAGTTGCTGGGATTGAGATTCTTTGGCTGTTTCAAATATTTATAAAACTTTTCTCAGTGCAATTGAAGCTGCACTTCAGTCATGCTTTTAAGCTTTTATTTGGAGCTACCAAGGCTAAAAATGTACTCTTAAATTAAAACTGATATAGTCTGGTATTAAAAACAATTTATTGTGGTAACTGGGACTCTAGGCAGAAGTTACATCGCTTGCATATAAATATATTCAGATCTGTAGTCCATGTGCGCCTTCTTATGGAAGAATGTAATTCACCTCAAACATGTTAGTGTTCATTAGTAAGTGTTAAAAAGTTACCATGGAGCTGAAAGAATTGATCTCAGGTGTCAAGTATTTACGTGAAGGTGTGTGGAATAATCTATTTATGACATTAACAAGAAAAAAATCTGTTTCTGCATTTCAGCCCAGACAACTCTAAGATACTGGGTGCCTGTTACCTGTAGCACAGTTGAGGATATATCCCTTGTGCTAACTGAATGGTTTTTGTATGGCTGGCCTGAACGCTCACCAGTGAAAGGAAAGACGGAGAGTGTGGCTCTGCTGCAGAGTTCCGAGTGTGTTTCCTCTTGGTGTGAAAGAAAACCACCATGCACCTTATCTTGTCCCTCCAGGTTGAATTTGTATCTTTGTTAAGGAATAGAAATAACATATTAGTCATGTTATGAGCTGGCTAGTGGTGAAAGGTTTGGTAATGTGGTGCTCCTTAATTGACAGCTGTGTGAGGGCAGGATTGGGGTCTAAGAAACTGGAGTGTACAGGGCTCTGCTCCCCTTTCCCGCACAGGTTGTCACTCATAGTAATGGACTTCAGTGCTGTCTGTTCATCCTCTCCACGCTCCTTCTTGTGCTCCCAAGTTTTAATGCCTAAAATCCTCATTCCCAGGTTGAATCTAGTGAGCCGTGATGACAGGGTGTGTGGAGGAAGTTTGTGAAGAAGAGTGAGAATTGTCTGCTTGTCCCTTAGGGTGGGGACTGCGTGGGTAGAGATGAAAAAACTATTGACTCAAACTGCCTGGATCAGCCAAGCAGAACAGAACTGTATCAGCACGTATGGAAGCTACTGTGTAACACCAATCACTGGGGAAGGTGTCAGTGCTTTGTTTATTGCTGGGTCTAATCACCTCCAACTCACTTTGACTTCAAGTATTAAGCTTCTGCTTAGTGGCAGTTGGAAAATAAGACTTATAGTGCCTGACTGAAGAGAACCCCTTTAGGAGCTCCCGCTGGAATGTTATGACGAGCTTCTCAGCTGCAGCTTAAAAGCCCAACAGAGATTTTTGTGATTTGACTTAAGGGATTGTTTTCAGACATGGAGCAAGTAAGTGATTAAGTACAAAGAAGATGTGGTAATGAGTTTCAGATGAGGTCTTTTATGTTTATTAAAAGAGGTCTGAAAGTTTGCTGCTACTACTATTTCTTGTTTTCTAACTTATAAAGTCAGCTTTGAATCTCATACTCCACACTGCTTGTAAAGGGCAAGATCCTATTACTATAATACTGTAAAAAAAAAAAAGTCCTAAAAATAAAATAAATCCAGTAGAATATAAATCTTTTTTTCCAGTGTATAGAAAAGCAATGAGCCATTTTAAGAGCAAGCAGAACATGCATTTCGAGATTCAATAGATCATCTAAATTGGTCCCAAACCAAGTTTTAAAATGGTATCGCAAAGACTTTGCTTTGAATAAATTTAGCATTACAAAACTCAGAATATGAATAAAAATAAGTTAGATTTGCTTAGTGTTTTGTATTTTCCTAATATTCTGATTAACTAGGGAAAAAGTGCTTAATACATATGACCTTTTCTGACTATTCCAACTGCAGAACTTAAAAATGCTAAACTAACACGTACGTGCTTTCAGTTACTTCCATCTAGCTTTTCATTATAAATAAACTTTATAACTTTATAGGTAATGTAAACTTTATACCCTTGTTCTTTATTTTCTGATATTTGTATGTTTGAAATTTGGATTAGTGAATCTAAAATTTCTCACTTGCCTGACTTCCTGCAGTTCTCTTGTAGAAAGAGAATTATTCTAGATTGCCACATCATGTATTTTCAATCCAAACCTTGTCTTCCCAATGGCATGATTGCAGCTAGAATAAGCCTGTGTACATCCACTTAATGTGAACACCTCATGGTTTGAGCTGCAGAAGAAAACAGTATCAGAAAAATGGCCTCTAGTCAAGGAAACCTGTCTTTGTAATAACAAATGATTGCATTCTCTTTATCTTAGTTCTCTACTTTGCATGAAATTATAATGTTATTCTAATGGCTTGCAAAGATTCTCCATGACCATGCTGCCACCTCTGTGTGCTTTCTGTGCTGCATGGTGTCTTGCTGTCTCTGGATGGAGTGCAAGGGCAAATACAGAATTAGGTCTATAGCAGTATTTTTAGTATCTCCTCTCCTGGAATCCAAGTGTTGATGTGTTAACCAGCCTTCTGGAAAACTGAAATATTTCACTAAGAATAAACTCTTTGATTTTCGTACCCCAGACTTGAATTTGGGAGTTTGAGACTGCACAAAAAATGCAGAATTGAATCCATAATGCTTAACACTAACAATGGGTTGGTTTTGTTGACGTCTTACAATGTTTAAAATTGCTGACAAAATTTCAGGGATACGCTATATTTTCTTGTACTATTTTATTTACAAATTAGCCTTCAATAATATGAGGCTCACATTAAAAAAAAAATATAGAAGTGTCTGTTTTGACCTTTAAATCTTGGTATATGATGAAATCTGTTTTTTACCAAAAAACATCCCCACCCAGTATTCTATGCTGTGCTGCCTGTGAGCTAATCAGTGATTCATTCATAACTGCATTTCTGAACCAGAATGTTGAAACAGGTATGATTTAGTGGAAGTGCTTACTGAAGAAACCGATGCATGTAAGGTGAAACTCATGCAGTAGTGATGGTTAAACCCAAACATACCCTGTTGCTTTAATGAATTGAGATGTCTACTATTTTATTAAAAAAATATGGTTTATTACAAAGGTAGTAAGAGTAGAATTTACAAGATAGATAATCCTTTCTTTGGCATTAGTGAATTAAGTTCCAGCACCCATCCACCCAGCATATTTTAGGTTAGACAAAGAAATTGATGAACATTTTAAACTAGAGAGATACATTCCAATTCAGTTTAATTACTGTTTTTTTTCCCCTTTATAATTCTTCTTTATTCACCTATTCAACTTATCCCATCATACACTTTTTTTAAACATTGTTGTAGGAATAATGTTACTTGCTCTTTCCATTTCAGTGAAATGTATAATTTTTGATTTTGCTAATTATCAAGGTCAGCAAAGATTAAATACAGAATTTTTTGAACCCCCTATATTCTACAGTCAGTGTCTTTATATTCGTGAATTATTACACTGTTGATTCTTAATTGTCTTGTTCTTCTTTACCGTACAAAAAGCTGCACCATTAAAACTTGCAAAACTTTGTTTTTGAGCTTTACTTTTTGCTTGCAATTTCACTTTATGGTTTCACCTCCACTTTGCCATCACATCATTGTAAGACCCCTTAAGTATTTGTTTTATTCCATTCCATTATTATGTTTTAATTTAAGGAAGCTGTGACAAGATCTCTTACTGTGAATACCTTTTTGAAAGTTCTTGAGAGCCAAAAGTCTGAATAGTATCTTAGAAGTTCTCAAAGATTGTATCAGTGAGCATCCTGACAGTGACTGAATCTGCTCTGCTTCACAATGTGAATAACACCTTTGCTTGTGACTTTGTTCCTTGCTTTACCAAATGTTTTCTTTCCTTTCTCAATGATAGTATTTACGCTGCTGTCCTTGAAGGTGGCTGCTGCTCTCCCCCCCACCCCCCTCCCTTTGGAGGAGAGTCAGCTATTTTTCGTCCTTATTTCCAAATTCTGTTATGAATACCCAAGCTTTTAATTGCAATTAGCAGTAGAGCTGCTGATAGAAACAACTGTATGCAAATAGTAACCAATACCAAGTGATCTATGGATTTTTTCCACACCACCAGCAAGTATTTGCCTGACCGTAAATCTGAGAACCGTTTGAATTGCGTTAAGTGAACAATAAAATTGCATGCTGAGCATTTATACAGCAAGAAATGAGAAAGTCAAGGCTACATACACCTTTTGGGCTGTTAGAATGCTTTGGGTTTTTTTTTTGCTGAAGGAAAAAAGCAATTATGTAATGCAGAGCAGTTTGGTGAGGTTGTTTATTAAGACATTTCTGCTTAGGAAAATCCTTGCAGTATCTCTTATTTTGGTTGATAGGGATTTGTGCTTACTATGGGAAATTACAGTAAAACAAACAAAAATTTGTTAACACGCACAAAAAAATTAAATTAAGAGACTTATGCAGTATACACTGGGGAAAAGTGAAGAATCTTGTAATTTCCCTATTTGCCCTGTCTTTGTTAAACAATTCTGTTTCTAGATTACTGATCTATGCCCGTAAGTGTGTAGTATCTGATTGTCCACTTCATGACTTCAATGGGCAAATTAAATACAGGATACAAAACCCTATTTTCAATGAGTTATATATTTAATAAGTCAAGATGATTTTTTTTTCAGGTCCTTTATGCATATGTCAAGTTAGGACTGTTTTAATGCTATTTCATGTTTTGACTATTCTACTTTTTTCTATTCATGCTTTGGTGCTAAAATTGCTTTCATTTTTTATTACATTTTAACAAGTAATAGAATCTCTTAGTCTGAGATAAAGTTGGAAAAATCTACGTAGAAAAGAAATAAAGCATTTCTTAAGTGACAAACAAAGGGAATTAGAAAAAAAATTATATATGCTAATGATCTCTACTAAAACCTAAATATGTTTGATTTACTTATGTAGGTTGATGCCTTGCGGTTACGATTGGAAGAAAAAGAAACCTTTCTGAATAAAAAAACCAAACAACTTCAAGACCTCACAGAAGAGAAAGGAACCTTGGCTGGAGAGATTCGAGATATGAAAGACATGTTGGAAGTAAAAGAAAGAAAAATTAATGTCCTTCAAAAAAAGGTAAGATCACTGGTGAAAGGATTTTTTGTAAAATTTTTGAGGGCACATTTAGGGGAAATATATATATTTCTTATAGCATATTACTTTTAATATATTAAAAAAATGCAAGGAATAAGTCTGTAATAGTCAAGTAGTTCTCTAATATAAGACATGTGTTACTGTTTTCCGTGGGATCATTTCTATAGTATTATATCTTAATTATATTATATCATATCCCAAAAGTATTAGGTGCTGCAGTTTCCACCAAATTATTGAAGTTGAATGAAAAACCTAGAAATTCTGACAAATCTTATTCCTCAACATGAGGAATTCCTTTATCCTTGCTAACACTGATGACTACTTTTTCCAAATAATGTAAGCAAAATGTGTGGGACTGCTAAAAGATTAGGATACTGCTTTTTTTCTTTAAAGACTATTTTTTTTTGAAAAAAGGGGAGTGAGGGGGGGGAAGGAAGTTAATTTAATTCAATTGTCTGCTTTTCCTGTGAGCTAAAGATATGAAGTATGGAGGCTCTCTCCAAACAGCCTTATTAGTCTTATTTCTAACTTTTCACAAATTCAGCTAACTGTATTTACTCTCTTTGGGAAGTTGGATTTAATCATTATAGTTTCCACCTGGGGGACTGGGGAGGGAATTTGCTGAAAAGGTAGCTCTGCAAGGGTTCTGCACACGGTAGTAGTGCATTTATTTACCATATCCTTTTTGTCACGCTCAGAGAAATGTTTATGCTAGCGGGTATGTTCTGTGTGCCATGTGTATTACTCTTTATCATATGTAGATGCACTTGTGAGCATACAGATAAATGGAGAAAAAGTTCCTGGCATCAAATATCTTTTACTGTTACTTCTCCCCTCCTTTTACAGCCACTCAAAGAACGTCTACTCCTTACTCTGTTACTATCTAGGTAGTTCGTGTTAACTGTGGTTAAATACAGTCTTTAAAAAGCCAAGTCCTTATTTTCCAGAAACTGAGATGACTGCTTTTTCAGGCCCAGGAAATAAGGCCTATCAAAACTGGAATATAGGTATTAATCTGCTTTAATCTTATTTCTGAATATGTGCCTTGTTAGCAATGTTGATCACGTAAAGATACAAGCTTCAAGCCTTTTATCCCGTGCTGAATGCTAGTTAATTTTGGACATCACTTGAGAATTTTGAAGAAAAGAATGCATCTTTTCTTATGGTTTGTATTCTAAAAAAAAAATCTCAAACAAACTAAAAATTAGTCTAATGGCTGTGATGCTGCCAGCAAATTAACATTGTAAGAATAAGAGAAAATGTCTGCTTATGACAGCAGTTCAGCATACTCAATTCATATGTCCTTCGGAGTCCTTATACCTCTATTTGTTGCTCTATGATATAGCCTTCGTTAAAATTTGGCAGGCTAACTTCATTCCCATGTATAAGGCCTGCTCGAGGTGACCCTGCTTCGGCAGGGGGGTTGGACTAGATGACCCACAGAGGTCCCTTCCAACCCTTAACATTCTGTGATTCTGTGATTTACAGTTGGTGTTGTATTGAGATCTTAAGGAAATGGATGAGTAGGAGGAATGTGGATTCAGTCATGAAAATTGTGTGATGAATATAACTTATCACAGAGCTGTCAGCACTGCCTGTCATGGCTATGTGCTCATAGATATGCAACATGGTGTGTTTTTGTGGTCTTAATACATTGTGGCTATTTTATTAGGGCTTGTGGATGGTCTTGCCTCTTTTATACCTGCTTCTTAAAGTAATCACTCTCAGACTGCACTATCTCTCTTCACTGAATCATAGGGTAAACACATTATAGCCTCGTGGGCTCTAGTATACAATGTGATAAATAAATACTGCTAACTACTAGGTGCAAAATCAGAGTTAGTACTAAATTGATTCTTTAGAACTGGAAGTAGCACCTGAATTTTTGGGGGGTTTTATTCTGGTAAATATACTTCATCAGGAGACTTCTGAAGTTCAGTTTTTCTGCTATGGGCAGAACTTTTACTCAGAGAAGAATGAATTATGATGATTACTTTAAAAAAAAAAAAAAGAGAAAAATAGTTCATTTACACCATATAAGTTATGCATAGATTTGCTTTCCTGAACCATTTCTAATAAACACATTACCTTAATATGTAGATGTTAGCATGCCCAAAAATGCTAATATCAGATCATCATTACACCATTATTTTCTGTATAGGAAAAAATATAATATTTGGAGAATACGTTTTTAAAATTACCCTTAGGTCACATTTTAAGCTTTGGATCATTTTTTTACTTGTGCCTTGCTTCTAATATGTTTGAAGGTAAATTCGCTTACAGATAATTTGACTAGAGAAAAATTTGTTTGAAATATTGCCTGCTCTGCTCACCCCTGTTATTTAAATAAATCTAGAGTATGATGCTGTAATGGATACTTTCACTGTTTACTTTTCATGTGCCTGGTGTACAATTCTGAAGTAGAAAATTCTGTATGTCACCAATGGAAATCCAGGCTTTTAAATTAATCTGGGAAAAAAAAAAAAAAAAGATAATCTACTTGTATAGTTAACCTAACTGTTCAACTTAATTATGGCAGTGCTTATTAGATCATGACTTCTCATGGTTAGCCTCCTTGAGCATCCCAGCATCCTTGGCGACAAATGCAATCTCATCTCTGGACCACAACATTTGCATGTAGAAGGGAAGGTGTAAAGTGTCTGTCTACTTTTTCAAGAACCTTTCCTGGCATTAGTGCCTTTATGTTCTAGATAATTTTATCCTCACTACATGAAGTTATGTGTCCCAGGGCATTCATACCTCACAGAGTCTTTAAGTTGTGTCAAAGGCAAAGGGAGCACAGCTCCTTGTTGACCATAGGCATATTGTTGCTTCAGTCATGTTATTTCCAAAATACGTTGGACTATGTATAGTAGTAATTCCTGATGCTGTAGTATTCTTACTGTAATATTTTTGAACAGTCACTTTTCAGGGATTTTCAAATAGCCTAATAGTGGGTGCTGTGCTTTAATAAGAAGATTGTCCAATGTACCTCTTTTCTTTCCAGGTTTTGACAACATACCTTTCCAATAGAAGCCATATAGAAGAATAAATTTTGATGAAAAAGTATTTAATATATATCAGTTGCAATAATTTTATCCATTACTTGAATCTGATTTTGCTTTTATCTTTTACTCCTTGCTGGATTGCACGTGCATCTTGCATTCCTTCAGCTTCTGCTCATCTTCTCCTTCTGACCTTTTGACCACTTATTCCATTGTTGTTTTCACTTCAAGTGATGGCAGCCAGACATTTATGTGTTAAGCATTTAGAAATGAATATGTCCTCATCGTGCACATATATGTAGAGGAATCAGTGGGTGGAAAGCAGCATGGACTGTTTCATACGGCACTGAGGAGGTGAAGCAATTTTGGGCCCTGTAGTGGATTGTCCTGCCTTTACATACCTTATTGCAGGACATTGCCCTCGTTGCCCTCTTACTCTCATGAAAACTCTTCTGAAAGCGAAGGAGTTGCTTCTAATTCTTCTTCCTAAGTTCTCTCTAGACATTAGATTCTTCTGACTGTAATATTATAATACTTGTCTGCATTTTCTATGCAGGGCCAAATTTTATATCTGTGTATTTTTATTTACTTTTGCTATGAGAACTTGTGAATAACCAGTTATTTTAGTGCCTTCATTTGTTGGTGCAAGGTAGACAGCTACATCTCGCTTCACTTAGCCTAAAATAATATTTGTTTTAATGGTTGTGTTCAAGTAATTGAAGAAGGAAGAATTTGTATATAGAGCTTAAAAATATTTCTGTCATTAATAACTTGAAACCAAGTAGGAAAGAATATGTAACTTGGAAAGACGGCAATTTCTAATTCTAGATTTCTCTTCTGTACATTACTGTTATCTGCCATGTTGAAAAATATGAAGTAGACCAAACCAAAATCAGGAAAGCTCTCTTTCAAAGTTGGAATTGTTTCTTCTCCTTTGTGGATAGCTCTTACACTTGGAGGACAGGATAGGACAGGACAGGTTCTGTTGAGGGCTCCCTACCAAAGGTGTGGAAGAAACAAAAGCATTGGCAACAAAAGAGCAGAGGTGAGTTCCACAGGATGGTGTAGGAGCACACACAAGGCAATATGTTGCGGAAAAAATTAATGAGCAAGATAATGAGCTAATGATGTATTGTACTTCCATGCAATGGTTTTGGTGTAATTTTTGACCAAATGTAAAAACCGCTACACTATTCAGTATAATCTGCAGGTTTAAGAGAGGCCCAGCACTGGAGCAGCATGTGTTTAGAGGATTTGGATCAAGATAGATTGGCATGGAGTAATAATAAACTTATGTCAATGTCAGAGGTGCAATATTACTTAATATTTCTTTCTTTCAGAATCTTTGGCACCACTGTTCCATTTTAGTGCCAGTAAAGTTGGGTATGCTGTTTTAATAGACTTGTTTAACCTGGCAAAGCTAGTCTTACACCTCATATCTGTCAGTTTAGCATGTAGAGGGGCAGAACTCAGAAATCTTTATGTGTTTATACTCAACTTTTCAAGTTCTGTGAGTATGGTCGAGTTGTAGGCTGAAGGGCAGATGTGCTGAACTGGATGATGATTCATTTGTGTCCCTTTCTGCTCCTGAATTTTCTCTTTCATACAGTGGCTATATCTGGTGAGTTTTGTCCTCTAGGAATCTGTAGATATTTTAAAAACCAATTATATACTCTGAAGTATGAGTCTCAATGTTGAAACAGTAGCTGCTGAGACAAGAACAGTGTGGAGGATGTAGACCTGGATCATATTAGAACAACAGCTTGTGGAAATTCTTTCGTGGGGACCGTTATAAAAGAACACCATGTAAAGGGGGCTAGTATAATATTCTACTTTGACTTGCAATGTAACTTTTCATGTAAAATGTTACATTTTCCATCTTTAATAGTTTAAGCTTTGTGATTGATGAAGTGCTACATGACTGAGAGCCCTAACCTACCAGCTAATTAGCATTTGTAGGAAATGTCATAAAGTCTT